CTAAATTCCCTCACTGTAGTCTATAAAAGGAGGGCTCTCCTCCCAGTTGTTAAATCCTCAGTCAAGTAACACTCAAGGAATATTTGACCACCTTTACCCAAACACTTTAAAGTGCCAACCAACCCAAATCAACAACTCTTCATCACACAACTCATTCCTGAACTTTACCGTATCACTTGATTAAAACTTGACAAGAAAAGCTTGGTGGGTCTTGTTATCAGATAGTATAGAAGGGCAGAGCTTTCACCCAGTTCTCCCACGCTTATAAACGAAGGTTTCGTCACACATATAGGGAGTGCATGCAGGCACGCCAACCTGCAGGGTATACCCCCTGCAGGTGAATGGCTTGCCTGCCATGTGGCACCATTCTGCAATGGCGTGCGCATGGGGGGTTGGCTTGCGCTTATGAACCCCCTTAAGGTTATAATCATAGGAATATTAAGCGGGGATCTTGAGTCTAGAGTCTTGATCTTGAAGGTGTTGGGAAACTTGAAATTTTTATCTTGATGAGGGCCTGTACCATTAAATTCTTCACAGCGGTCCTAGCGCCGGCAAGCCTCTGTTCTCCAGCTCGTTGGGAGGGGTTCCTACTGGCGAGCCGGTATTTAAAGCAGCTTGTTGGAAGGAATCCCTTCTGATGAGCTGGTGTACAGTCTCCTCCCATATGTTCATAGCCATCTGTTTTGAGCTCCACACCGGGAACCCACAAGCTTCAAGTCACAAGAGTTTGTGGAATGGTGGAAAATGGGTCTAAAAGAATGAACATGAGAAAATAATTGTAAAAAACAAGATTATAAAATTTGTGAAAAAGACAAAAGAAAATCAACTTTTTTTGAAAACTTTAATTTCTTGTTTGAGTGAAAAGTGATCATACAGAGGGAAAGTTTGGAACATGAAAAGAATGATTATAAATGAAAAATATTGATCCAAAAAAAGTTTGAGCATGGTGGGTGGACACCCTGCAGTCAAAATTAGTAGATTGTGGTACCAGAATGCCACATTCCTTGATGAATGACCCCCTAGGCACCCTTTTTAAACCACCAAGTAGTCATTTTTTTTCCAAATTTTCACTTCTTATTATTCATTCCAGATCTCATACAACGACTTCTGAGATTTCATATTTTCCTGAAATAAATATTAGAGCTGTCAGTTTTTGTGATTTTCTCATTTTTATTTTTCACAAATTTTATCTTGTTTATTATTATTATTATTATTTCATATTCATTCTTTGAGACCCATTTCCCACCATTCCACAAACTCTTGTGACATGAAGTTTTTGGGTTCCCGGTGTGGAGCTCAAAACATATGTGTGAGCCTGGGTCTCAAAAGTGACAGCAGGACACAAGGTATGGGGGGTTATTCTAGAAGCATCTCAAGGGGATAAAGAAATACAACTAGAATAAGAGAAAAGGAGAGAGAGAGAAAGAGAAAAAAATGAATAATATTTTTCATTGTTTATTTATTTTATTATCAAGTTTTGTGACAGCCCTAATTTCCTTTAAGGATGGCTGTTATAAGCGGAATAAATCTACCCCTCCTTGCTCAAAAGAAACTGAGAAGGATAAATGGTATTGATATGTCAATCCAACATCAATTCTTTAGATCTATGATCAATTTTCTTTAAAGGGAAACCTTTGTGGTTTTCATTTATGCCACCAAACAGAGAAGATGATGATGACTTGATTTAATGCAGTGAAGTTTAAGGCAGAGTTTTAGTAGAAACAGAATGAGGCAATCATTCAGAGAGACAGAGAAAGAACTTAGCAGAAAGATGCAAGCTGAACTTGTGGAGTGACTTACTTATTGGTTATCCTGACACAATGAGTGGGAAGATTCCAATAGTTAAGGGACTCCAAACTATAACACAGCAATGATGCGGCGGTGAGGTATCCAAGTTGAGGTTGGTGATTTCTGGTTTAAGTTGGTTCTGGGTGGGTCTGGAGTCTGAAGATTCTGAAAATGTAAACTCAGTATCCTCTGAGAGAATTTTCAGAGTTGGATTACATAATCACAACATGTACATGTGGTAGAGGGTTGGAATTCCAACTTGGTTGATATTTCACAAGGTACGGTGAAATATTACAAAGGCTATAAAGGAGAAGAGTAGTGTAAAAGTGTGTAGTGGTGACTAAGGTTGAAATCACACAAGGAATTCATTTCTGAGGTCAGAATGTAATAAAATCTTGATATAAAAGGGTTACACTAGGAACATGGCTAAAAAGGAGTACTTAAGCCGTCTTTTGGCCAGCTTGGCTGGCTCTAAGGCTGACAGGTCGGGCTCGGGCTGGGCACGGGTTGGGTCTTGGGTGCATGACAGGCTCCCAAAAAAAAGTATGAGGGCTCAAGCGGGGCGGGGGGGTTGAACGTCAAGTATAATAGCATTTATGTTGATTGGCAGAGCTGTAGAATTCATGTCAACAGGCAGGGTAGTACACGGTGTCAGATCGGTTATGGTGTAGTTAGGGCAACAGGGCCATATCAGAGTTTTTACAGCCATGTTGGGCCAATCTGGGCCTGCCGGGCTGGCCCAACACTCCCCATAGGTTGCCCATGCCTGACCCGCCGCCCACGGTGGGTACCCCCGGGTCGGGCTAAAAAAAGAAAAAAACCCAACCAACCTGCCCAAAACCACCCCAAACCCGCCTCAGGCTTGGGCGCCCGGTGGGCACCCCAAGCCAAGTTACACCCTGACATTGAAACAGTCTTTGAAAGCATGAAATTTGCCAGAGGGGTCAAGGAGAATCCTTCCAAACCGGCTCAAATCCTGGTATTCACCACAATTTTGATTGGGGAAGTGTTTCAAATAAGCTCTCATAAATTCGAGTTGCTCTGCAAAGACATATCAATGCTTCTCCCGCTCTGTCCTTGGTATGTTTGTCTCAGTTTGTTTTACCGTCTTGCTGATGTTTTGAGTGT